GATATTGTGTTGTCTGTATATGTTCTTCTTTTGCTCCCTTATGGCTTGCGCTGATGGCTCGGCCACTGACAACCAATCCTTGACTTGAGTGAGCCATCGTGATTTTTCCTTTTTGGACTTTCTCGTGTCTGTTGATGACATGGAAGTTCTTGGTCTATCGTTTCCACAGAGAGATGGGTCATATTCAGATTGTGGGTGGCGTGGTATAAAAGCTGATGACCTAGGACTGACAAGTGTCTCTGTGATTGATCTGGTAGAAGATGGCATGGTTTGATGTATGTGAGGCTCGTGAGAACCATCAAGCTGAGTGTATTTCGACAGTCAAGTTGGAATTTGATGAATGATATGGATCAGTGGAGGGCCTCTGATCTATAGGCCAAGGCGTCGTCGGTTGGTTTGAGAGATCCAACAGCCTGTATAGGCCCGTGAAGGTATGATATGCCACCCGGTATTTTCAGGATATGCCTTGAATAAATGAATATTTTGAAAAGCTGGGCGTATCTAGATTAGGCATAGTCCTCCACCCATGTGGTGCTGGTGATATTGATGATGTCGTTCCCTGGAGACCTCGAGTTCGTAACAAGTACTCCTCCCTGGCAGACGACAAGGAATTCTGGATTCCGATACTGAAAATGCAGGAACAGATATAACAGCTATGATTGTGTGGCCCCAAACCTTTGGCGTTGGACGTCAACGGCGGTAGTGGCAGGATGATGCAAGTGCGCGAGTCGTGCAACGCATAAATGGAAGCACTGCCGACGGCAGCTAGAGGATCGCCGGATGGATGGAATGCAAAAAAGAACTATTGCTTCTGGAAGAGGAAGAAACAAGAAAAGAACCACAAGGAAAACTATAAGGGGGATTTCTGAGGTTGAGAGAATGAGTGATGGATGATGGATGATGGAGATGTCAAGTCAGAGAAATGGAGGGTATGGTCATAAATCACGGGGTAGAGGGGATTTCAAGTAAGGGTTGGAGAGTCACATACTCTTCAGCTACCTATGCATAAGAAAGAAAACCAATAATCAAACCTTGGCAGCGTCCAACAGACTACAGTACAAGTAGAGGTACTTGATGTGCATTACCTTACCCATCCATCCTTGTCACAAGCCTCCAGCGTCACTTCGACTCCATCACACCCTCGCAAACTGGTCTACCCTCTACGATATCCGATCTTGGTCTAGGTTCTATTATGTCGAGCTGAAGAGCCAACACGAAAATTGCTCACTTGGGCTCCTGATTGGATGAGAGTCGCTGTGAAGCCGGGGTCCCTCTCGCGGGACGGTGCAGCGGCGAGACCTTGTGGCTTTGTCTTGGTCTCTGCAGTGGTTGAAGCTGTCTACAAATATTTGTGGGTTGGCGGCTTCGCCGGCGGGTTCAACAGATGAACTTGCCCTGTAAGAAAGTGATGGGCTAGGTAGTGCTAAATGCCGAGGCACCGTTTGTCAATTCGGTTCTTGTTGCGTTGCGAGGTCGGGTTTTTGTAGAAAAAAAGGCGTCAGAGTGTAGACTATCTTCTCAACCCGAGGGAACCGTTTTCTTGATAACGCAAAAGTGTTAAACGTCTCTACTGACGATCATTAACCAGACCGGAAATCTGCAGCGTTGTACTCTGCAGCATCTCACGTTGATGTTTTGGGGTGGCTAGCTGGACCTCAGATCAAGTGATGCAGAAAAAGCAATTAATTATGCGGCGTGCGGGTATGTATTCATGGCACTCGACGTGACGATCAGGTTGTCAAGCTTTGGAATGGCTAGAAAGGTCAGCAACCTTCTTGATGAAGCACATGCTGAAGTGAACCTTGCTATGCAAATCATTAACTACTTACTACCTGCTAACCTAGCTCTTGGTGGTGTTTGCTAACAAAGTCCGCTACTGCACGACACTAGACTAACGGAGTTGTGCTCCGTCCGTTAGCTGGTGACATTTTCGGATTGCTCTACCAAGTCCACTCACGGCAGAGTTTATCACCTCCCACTTTTATTTTCCATGCCCCTGACTACCAGCAACGTCTTTTACGAAGGTTTGGGAAATGCCGTGTCTCGGTGCACAAAGACAAAGCCAAAGCCAAAGCCATCTTGGCTGAGCGCAAAGCCGCTAATGCACAAAGGCTGAGATGGCGCTCGAACATCAAGCCACAAGTCTGACTTTCGAGCTCTTTTTGGACTCGGCATTATGTCTGAGACCTATTGTGTTCAGAGGCTTTCCGAGAGCTTGGTACAATGAGAGTCGAGACCAAATGATCGACAAATCTCGGTTCAACGTTGAACCTAACAGGATGGATGACTTGGCTCGTATGCGGAGGATAGAAACGTCACACATCTTTATGTAGCCAACGAGCTGAGCGTGGCGACTCGGAGAGGCGAAGAGACGAGTGCCTAAGTGGTCAAACTGTTAGTAGCCAGCAAACAATGCATACGTCCTTAGACCTCTGGCCATGTTAATCTTAGACAAGCCCTCCATTTGACCTCCATGAATGCTCAAGCATCCTCTCTTAACCTATTCAGTCCCTTGATGCTTTTCTTCTTCTCTGTATGTGCTGGTACGCAGTCGAAAAGGGCAACGTTTGCCTCCCACCTCACGTCTTTATAGCTGAGACATTGTATCTCTCGAGTCTCGAGGGAATAACAATCAAGTTCAGCCTGTTATGGTATGTACCTACCTACCTAGCTTTGTGATATCAACTCCACCTACTTTGTGCATATAGACGTATGACAAGAGCTTGTCATTGTGATTCTGGAAGGCCATGTATGTACCTCTGAAAACGCGCGCCCTGCAGCAAAAAGAGCTGGCTTATCCCTGTCCATTTGTATGTGCCTTGGAGAAACGGAAGTGAAGTGAATGTCTCAGATGGCTGAATTATGGGATGGTCTGTGCTTACTCGCATCGGGGCCGACGCGAGATCTTGTCCGATCGTTAAACATGTATTTATGGAGATCTCTCGACAGGGGTCATCCTAGCCGTACTGCCGTCCATGTACAGTACATATCACTTGTCCGTCCATTTTAAGGTCCAGTCCACTCTTTCACTGATACAACGAGACACAGACTCACTGAGCTGAGGTTGAGACGCTTGGCAACCTCACGATCCCCTTGTAAATGGAGACGCCCTGGCGCCTTCGCTGAAAATAAACTCATCACATTCATGCGCTTTGGTCTTGATCTGTATCTGTGCATAGTTGCATTGATCTTTTACCCTTGTACAATTCTTCCGAAACAGAAATAGACCGCTACCTTAGTAGTAGGCATGCATCTGACGTTACATCCAAAAGCCGCTCCTTACCTTAGGTACATACCTTAGTTAATCAGACTTGGCTGACCCCGCAATAAGCTGCTTCTCCAGAGGGGTCACGACAGCCCGATTACCTTGTTGAGACACCTGGCATCCGTTCCATGTCCTGGGCTGCTCTCACCAAGCATCCCGATCCCGTCCCGTCCACTTCTCTTCTCACTTCCCTCATCTTCGGTCCTGTGTCCCACGTCTTTGTTCCTATTGGGCCATTCCCACTCCCTCCTCCGCCGTCGTCCGGAGCTCTCTCCCGTGACGTCTCCGTTCTTCGGTGCCTAGCTCACAACCAACTTGCGCAAGAGCTTACATCTTTGTCAGAGTCAACAAAAGCAATTTCTTCAGCGGCGCAACTCGATCATGCCCGCCCTCACCATCAACACCGACAACCCTCCCAACAATAATCCCCCTTCTCCGACCCGACCGCCTGTTTCCCCTATCACACCTCCCTTGCGTCCTACCCAACGCCCCGCGACCGAAGCTGCAAGCGCAAGTGCAAGCGCCAGCGCCGGCGGTCGTCCAAGTCTTACACATTCACAGCCCGACCAGACTGCGATACCACCACCTGCGCCTCAACCAATAGCCTTTGATTCCAACCCAGATGTCATTGCGCTCAAGTCGGCGATTTCCATTCTACAAATTCAGCGACAGCGCGCCACTGCCGACATCCAGGCTCTCAGCCGCGCAAAAGACGAAGCCGTCCAGGACCCCGAAGCTTTCATAAAAGACCTTGTCGCAGGCAAGATCAATGCGCCTGAGGATGGTAGCGACAGCAACAGCGACGGTGAAGATACAGCGATGAGCGGTCAAGACACCGGCAATCAACAAGACCCCGGTGAAGGGTCCTCCAAACAGCACATCGCTACCCAACCACCAGCATGGACGAATCTTCCCCAGCCGCAAAATGTGGTTCGCTGCCCGCCCATCAACTGGTCGCAATACGCTGTGGTCGGTGACTCCCTCGACAAACTTCACAACGAACAAGTCACGCGTCCCAACCAGGGTACACCAGCAACGATAGGCGCAAACGGCATGTACGAATTCAGAGGTGAAGGGAAGCAAGAGAGGTACCAAGGTGTGGCGGCGCCCTATAACCCAACCCAGGAGCGCCTCAACAAGAATCCCAAGAGTAGGAGGTCATGAGAAATGATGGCACCATGAGTTACGAAAGAAATCGCATACACAGATCCTAAATATTGTCTTTTGAGCGGAACCTTGATGCAATGGATTCATCATATTCAAATATCGGCGTTAGAGGATAGATGGATGGCGTTATAGAGTGCAAACAATACAACCCGGCACTTTAATTATGCTCATCACTTATTCTGGTAACGGTGTAATATCTGAACCTCTCAATCAAGCTTGTGTTTGAAGAAAAAACCTTCATTCATTATAGCATGGCCACTGGTCTCATAACCCAATATTAAGAGTAAATCGATAGATTTTCACTGGGGCAAGGAAATAGAGTGACTTGGTATCTCATATGTCTAGTAGCCTTGTGTAGATTATGCCATATGCATCACAATCTGGCCACGGCAATCAAGTCAACCGCATTTTAAGGAAATGGTCCAATCCCCAGACCATGTCATTTCAACATGAACCACAGGCCCCAACGCCATGTAAATCAGATCAATGCCCCTGATGTTGACCCAGTACGCCCCCGTGATATTTTCATCTAAGAATCCTGGTATTAAGCCTGACGAGAGCATCCGGGTTACTCTGGGAAGTCCCTATAAAGGTCGGTTAGCTTGCGCATAGAATGACTGCAGGATCTTGATCAGGTACTGACTCCATGCTCTGCTGTACGGATCGGCGAAGACGTCGGTTGTATTTCTTCTTGTCGTCTGGGCTTCCTCCCCAGTACATTTTGGTCGCTTCCGGGTTCACAATTTTGCGTGGGTCATAGGCTGGCTCATCATCTTCAAGTATCGCAAAGATGGCATCAATATGGGACCGTACATCTTCCCTTTTCATAGGGTTCGGAGTGTAGCATGCTGTACCGTCTGCAGCGATGTGGTGGTGAAAGATCTTGGTCTCGAACTTGACACGAGGTTGCTCTTCGGGGAAACGGACGCTGAAGTTCATTTTGATTCTGAACAGGCCACCGTCGAGGTTGGTCATAGGACGTCCGAAGTAGGTTATGACCCAGACGAAGGGGTTCTCGTTCTCGAGAAAAACGTCATGTGGCATATCGCCTCGCTTGAACACTTCGACAACCTGCTCGAACTGATGCTGAAGATTAACAGCAACAGTTGTCTCCTTCTTCTTAGCTTCTAGGCCCTCAGCGGCCCACCTCTCAGGCTCTGCTTCGATGGCGGCCTTGATAGCTTGCAGGCGGCTCCCGAGCTCGGGATAATTGAATTTCCCATCCATTGAGTTGTTTCCTGGCGACTCGAACGGCATTCTTGCAAAAGGCTGGTTGGGCTTGGTCTCTGATTTGCCTTTTTCGATCGCAGCGAGGTATGATTCGTAATACCAAAGAAAGCGGCGTTTGCATAGATCTCTAAAAGGCTCAAAGGGGACGGTAGCCTCGTCAATGTCATCATCATCCATCTCATTCGCTCCTGGAAGATTGTGCAACTGGGTGCCACTGGGGTTCATTCCAAGATAGCCTTCCAGACGTTGGATGACGCTGATACGTAGTGTCTCGTGTCGAATCTACCAGGGTTAGAGGTTCTCCTGTAATTTGAAATGGGAACAGACCTTTTGGATATAGTCCTTTTGGTTCTTCTTGTCGCTTTCATCGTTGGCATCCTCGAAGCCCGGTTCGTTCTCGTAGGGGTTAGATGAAAGGAGACTTTGGATGGATAATAGAATTGATTCAAGTCCTTGCGCAGATGACCACTCTTCTCCACGCTCCCCACGCCATGTTCTAGCCATTGTCAGTTCAAACCTCAAATCTTTGACACAATTAGATTACCCTAGAATTGATCTGATCGTGTTAGCACACGAGTATAGTAAAGTAATAATATATGATCACTTACAGGCAGACTTTCCCGTTGCTGTAGACATTGGGGTTGAAGCGACAACGTCCCCCGTTTGTGGTGATACAGATTACACTCGGAGATCTGGAAGGATATTCTGTCATCAAAGATGAGATTAAGCTTTATTGTAGTACAAGGAGGGCTCTACCTTTGTGGAACCGAATGGCAAACTATCGATTTGAATAAGCCCATCTTTACATATATAAGGATAAATGCAGCGCTCACGACATACCTCGAAGAACCCGAATTCATAGGGAGTCTCATGGGGACCCATGATCAGGGCCTTTACATTGCGAACATCGATGTCGCGACATGCTACGGCGAGCGCTGTAGTAAAAGGCAGCCGCGTGGTCAGTTTCTCTTTCGAATGCGTGGTACATGCCATCTGGCAAAAGAGACATACACAAGTCACAGTTCTTCTGGATGTCACCCAGCTCCTTGGCATAGTGTTAGTACCTCGAAGGTGGGATCGTGAACGAAGGGATGGGAATGCGAGCGAATGCGGGGCAGCGAACCTTGGAGATGCGAATGATGGACTGGTCCATGGCGCCTCGTATGTTGCAGTCTAGATGTTGATGTTTGAGGACGAGCGCTGACTGCAGAGCGCGACGCACATGGATAAGTTGCTTCCAAGTCTGAGGCTATCGATGTGAAGTTTCGGGTGGTGGATGTCAAGTTACTAAGGTATGTGAGGTGAAGTATAACGTAGGGTAATGAATGTAAGGGTAGGCGTTGGAGTCTTGAGGTGGGCTGTGTGAGCAGGTATGTTAAGACCGTAGGAGGAAAGTGGGGGAGGCGGGAAGCTCATCGGGGCTGGCTGGCAGTTTTCACAGCTTGACAAACTTAGTACCTTGGCTAGCTTAGGTAGTTAGTACTTAGTAGGTAGGTAGGTATCAACAGACAACAGAACTTTACACTGCCTATTAATGCCCTAGAGGTAGTTCTGAACCTGAAAACAACCTTGGGACTTTCATTGACTGAGGTGGGCAAGTGACCAAAGGTGAGTATGGATGTCTGTTATGTAGGTAGATATCAAGGAAATGCGGTTACTATTATTCATTTTATCCTTCTTCTCAGCTATTACATACGGCCTTTTATTACAGCAATCATAATAGATATTTGTCGTTCATACATCAAGTTAGTAATCCCCAATTCAGCATCTACCTACTGCTACTATAAGTAGCTATATTTAGTATCTTGCATTTTTCTAAACTCATAAACAAGCGCTTATAATAATCGTTATGTTTTTAAAATGAACAGATGTAGAGCGCCCCCAAGATCGTTGTCTGCTGGAACGAGCTTGAGCTGTCTCATTCCCTGTCTGCATTTAACCATTGACCGTGAGATATATCATGCGTTTGCTGGTCAAGGCCACATGTCCTAGCAAATGACGGGATAAATGAAAACTTATGCTAACTTCCATGTCTAATCACTCCATTCGTTCTTCTGTTTTTCTCTACCCTCCCTCTTCTCCGTAAAGTTCGGCAACATTCATAAGTGTTTGGTTGATTGTATGAAATCTAAATGGGAGTCAGAGACTACAGAATGTGTAGGTATCATGCAAGAACATGGTTTCTTATCCTTTGCTTTATTTTGTTTTCTTTTTAAAAGAAAATAAAAGAGAGAAAAAAAACCCACCCTCAAAAAATGCAAAACTGTAAGTAGCAAATGCATTATACACTTGAAATCCTAAACGCCAACCATGAACATTTTACATCAAACCATAAGCTACCTACCCGGGAGCTCAAAGAGGCGGACCCAACGGAGCTCAGTTAGGCTACCAAGATCCTTGCCTTAAGGGGAAGTGCTGTGGTTGTGGTTGTGGTTGCCATTGGTGACGCGCTGCGCGTTTCTTAACGCGTAAATTGGTTCCCTTAGCTCCCATTAAGGGAAGTCGGTGATTCTAAATCACCATTTCGCACACTGGTTTACTCCGCCCTCACATACAAGCTCAGCCGTAGGCAGCCCGACAAGCCAGCATATAATTGAATCAAGATGGCGAGCTTTTTCGACCTCAAGGCCAGAAAGGCAGCAGCGGCAGCCAACGGTAACACTGACCAGAAGCAAGATAAACCTTCAAATACCCGAACTCAACCCTGGGTCGAGAAATAGTACGTGAAACTCGAAAATACAATATATTACTCGAGACTTAACACATCCAGCCGGCCAAAGACCCTCAGCGATGTTACTGCCCAAGATCACACTGTTGATGTTCTCCAACGGACACTGCAGTCCTCCAACGTACAATATCCCCTTGCTCTGAACTGCAAGAAGCTTCAATACTAATGCTTCATAGCTCCCTCACATGCTGTTTTACGGGCCTCCCGGGACAGGTAAAACTTCGACAGTTCTGGCACTCGCCAAGGAACTATACGGCCCCGATATGATTAAATCGAGAGTCCTCGAGCTCAATGCCTCCGACGAGCGTGGTATCTCTATCGTCCGAGAAAAGGTCAAGAACTTTGCGCGAATGCAATTGACCAACCCGGCCCCCGGCTACAAGGACAAATACCCTTGCCCTCCTTTCAAGATCATTATCCTCGACGAGGCCGATTCCATGACACAAGATGCCCAAAGCGCACTGCGACGAACCATGGAGACATACAGCAAGATTACTCGATTCTGTCTCATCTGCAATTATGTGACTCGAATTATTGACCCTCTTGCCAGTCGATGCAGCAAATTTCGATTCAAGAGTCTCGATCAGAGCAATGCAAAGAAGCGACTGGAGGAGATTGCAGAGAAGGAGGGCGTACTACTTGAGGACGGCGCTGTTGATGCACTCATCAAGTGCAGCGAGGGTGATCTTCGAAAAGCCATTACTTTCTTGCAAAGTGCTGCTCGGCTCGTTAGCGCTAATGCCCCCGACAAGGAGGTTGAGGGTGATGAGGTGATGGATGTGGACAAGAAGGCGGTCACAGTCAAGATTGTTGAGGATATTGCTGGTGTCATTCCGGACACGACCATCGATGATCTCGTCAAAGCAATACGTCCGAGAAAGTCAGGATCCTCCTACCAGATCATTTCGGACGTTGTTGAGAAGCTAGTTGCAGATGGCTGGAGCGCAGGTCAAGTGGTCAACCAAGTAAGTCTCATCCTTCGTATCACTGAATTGCTACTAATAATTCTTGTGACAGCTCTACCAAGCCTTAACATATGACGAGACAATACCTGATGCACAGAAAAACAAGATCGTGCTGGTTTTCTCAGAAGTTGACAAACGATTGGTAGATGGAGCAGATGAGCATCTCTCTATTCTCGATCTGTCAGTGAGGATATCGACTATCATGTCCAAGAAGTGAGTTGCCGCTCTGTATCTAGTGTGCTGCATCAAGAGATGAGGGACGGAGTCATGGTTAGAAATGGGTTGGCGTTTTAAAACTGGCCCGATATCACCAGGCATCTATTGTACCTGTCGTTGTTATTCTAATCCTGTGCTGTGCCTCCCTGACCAATCAATCCGAGGTTACCTTGCAGACTAGACCACGCATCTCTCGGCTCTGTGATCCTCTTCTCTGTATGCCTTCTCGCCTTGCTTGGGGATTTGGGACCTGCCTCAAGCCATACGTCATCCTCCGTTGTATCGGCCTGTGTTTCTTCTTCCTCAGCCGCCCCGTCCTGGCCCAAAAGCTGGTCAATTTCTTGTAGAGTCTGCATTGAGTTCTCCAACGCAAGCTGTCCACCTTCAATCTGCTCTGCCACATTTTCTAGCGTAGTGATCTTGGCCGAATCTGCAGCGAGAACCCAAGGTTGTACCTTGCCTGTCAGACCTGAGCGCTCATCCGAAGCAAGGAACTCTCCCAGCCCAGACCTCCTCCGAGACGTTGGTGCCACCGAATGAGATGGAAGCAGTTGACTTTCTTCTTCCAAATGACTGAGCGACTGACAGTTATCCTTGATTTCTTTCCCGAGTTTCGTAGTTACATGTGCTTTTTGTGTTATCATAGCCCTCTGCTTTTTGGAAAGGGCAAGGAGAGTCTCGATGTATGGTGTCAGGAGATAGGTACTTGATGCAGGTTCTGGTTCATCAACTTGTTGCTTGGTGGAGGAGGGTGCCAGAACAGGAACAGCCGATGACTCGAATCGTTCACCAGCAGAAGCGAGGAGGGACCGTCTCGTTGCAAGATAATGGGCGTACTTTTCTTTGATAATGTTGAGATGGTTGTTTATCGTTGCCTGGTCTGTCGTTGATTGGCTGTGGCCCTTGGAACCGTCCTCATCCGCATCCTCATCCCCTGATGCCTTGCTCAACTCTGTCTCAATCCAATTGATAAGCTCATTCCTTGTTGTGTTAAGAGCATGTAGTCTGATGCCATTACTGATAACATCTGGTATGCTCTGAGCATTTGCTCTTGTTTCTCGAAGTAACTGCTCCTCTCGTCGCAGAAGGATTTTGGCCCTCAAGACCGTTTTTTCAAGCTGTGCAACTTGTTCGGTTAGGTCCGTCTTCTTCAGGCTCTGTTGTGCAACAAGACTGTTTACGACCTCCTTTGGGACACTGGGTAGACTGGTAGCATCATGAAAAACATCCTCGGGGTCGAAATATTCAGGAGCAGCGGCCGGCTTTTGCATGAGTGAGTCCAGGTGAGTTTGGACGGCTGTAAGCCGCGCTTGTTTCGCCTGGAGCTTTAGAAGTGAGACCTGCTCTTCTAGTAGCTCACTGCTGAATGAGAGCTCTCTGGCTAATGACGAGGAGGGAAGATTAGATTGGGCAGCATCTTCATAATTTCGACAGGCATCAACATTTGCCTTGAGAGCCTCAATGTATTCCCTGTAGATTCCCTTTGAATTTGAATTCAGAGTTACGTCGCGTGTTGGATCTGCCAAAGACACAGGCTGTTTGACTGGGCCATCATGAGAACATGTTCCGAGATGAAGAGCCAAAACTCGCCGAATGTAGTTCACTTGTTCCCGTGGCTTGATATATGGATCAAGTGTCTTCTGAAATGTCTCAGCGGTCTCAGAAGAATTTGCCATTGCGAATCATGGTTTGTCGGTGAAGAAATCCCTGGCCTAGGTTTGTTGCTCTGGTCTCGGTGAAAGTAAATAGACGAAATATGTTAGTCCATGGGCAGCTTAGACAGTACCGAAGTGTGGCTAGTGATCCCCCCTAAACCAACACCGGAGTCATCACACAATGAACAGGTAATCTTGAATTACTTCTTCACAATGAAGTTTGAATTTATACCCCGAGCTCATTCTCTTTGTAGTCTTGTAAACAATCAAATGCATTAAGAATAATGAATTATGACCTGGGCTCTGGCCCCATATGCATTTGCGCCACACAAGCTCTTATCCGAACCGGGCCTAGTGCAGGAGCCTGGTAGGCTGAGATTCGAAATTTACGATCGCGACTTGAACTTCTAAACCTTGAGTCAACTACACATCTTTTCAAAACGACTGCGCACCAATCGCAGACTACAGAATACTCAGGCAACAGCTATATATCTGACTGAGTCGCGTCGGTGGCAAACTAATGGTTATTTAAGTGCCAAGCGCCCCAGGCTTTGTCGAGAACATCGACGTTCTCTATCAATTACAACAC